CCACGGTTGAATACCTCTCATCTTGTTCTTCTTAATGTGTACTGTTTCCAATATCTTATCAATTATTATACTAATTTAAAATAAGTTAAAAATTAAAGACAAGAAAAAAATTAAGATTTTTTTGGAAGCAAGTGTTAATATTCAATTATTTGTCCGACTTCCATAACTATATCTGTTATTCTGAGCAGCAGATTTGATGATAAATAGATAACATAACAACCATTGTTACTTAGCTATTCTTGTTTTGAAAATCTATAACATATATATTGTTGTTTGTTACCCTGCTTGTCTTTTTTCTATTTGTTTTTGCTTCTGTTTTTGTTCTTCAAAATAAAATAAAATTGAATTTTTTAAAAAAATAATGTTGTGAGTTACAAAAAGAAAGCAAGAAAAAAAAAATTGAGTATTTGAAGTAAAAGGATAGTGCACACTTCTAAAATCCAAACACTTGAGAGGCTGGGGCAGAGGATCAGAAGCTCAAGGTCTAAAAAAATTGTGTAAGATAATATGCAACTTTACCCTATTGGTCTTTTTGATGAAACTCTTAAGAATTATGTCATTCTATGGAAGTTTTATTCGTTTGTGTATTTGTTTGTTTTGTTTTTACCTGAGATCAAACTCAAGACCTTGCTTAAGCCACTGAGCTGTCTCCCCTTTAAATTTTGAGATTTAAAAATAATGTTTTGTTTTCCTTTTCTGATATAGTAGTAGTAATTTTTCATTGTCTAAAAAGAAAATAATCCCAAGAATAAAATATTAACTTAATTTACACGTATAATGATACAGATTTTCTAATTACTAATTAGTGAAATAATAATTCTGTTACTTAGTTGGAAAGTAGGAACCTTTTTCCAATTTGTAATAGACTTTATTAAATGCTTGTTTACAATATACCAAGATTGTACTCACTAACCTTATAAAGTAGGGCTATTGTTCCATTTTATTGTTTTTCAAGTAAGGGAAAGGAAGTTCAGTGGTCTATGGTCACAAAGGTCAGTGGTCAGGAAGCCTTTACATCTAACTCAGGAGCCAGGCCTCTTGGGCACTATGCTAGTGTCCCTCTCTGTGGCAATTAGCACATACTGGAAACAGGGGGACTCAGAGTTGTAGACAAAATTGACTTTCAGCTTAAAGGCTAATGCGAAAGCTTGTTTGAATGTGAACAAGAGCCAGGTGTGGTGGCACATACCCATAATCCTAACATTCAAGAGGCTGAGATAGAGGATTGCTGGCAGTCTGAGACCAGCCTATGCTGCATCATGAGACCCTGTCTCAACAAACAAAAAAATGTGAACAAGAATGTGTTTTATCTTTCATATGTTTTATGTGTTTGGGATCTCAATTTCAGGAAAGTTTCTGTGGAACTTCCATCATTGTACCAGAACTTGAAGGAGCTCTTTATCTGAAAGAAGATGGAAAGAAAACCTGGAAAAGGCGCTATTTTCTTTTACGAGCTTCTGGAATTTATTATGTACCGAAAGGAAAGACAAAGGTCAGTGTATCAGTCAGCATCGTATTACTATAACAAAATTACTACGATTGTGCACTTCTTTAAAGAAAAGGTTTATTTGGGCTCATGGTTTTGGAGGGTGCAGTGCGTGGCCTGCTGGCACTGCCCCCAGGCTAGCAGCAAGGCGCCATAATCACAGCAGGAGGAAGCCTCACCTCACGAGCAGAAGCAAGAGAGCAAAAAGAAAGAGATGGTCCTACTGTCCTCTTCAGGGTCACATCCTTATGACCTCACTGTCTTCCACTGAACCACACCTCCCAAAGACGCTACATCTCCCACTAACACCATAGTCTGCGGCCTTTACCATGTGGATCTGCGTGGACCTTCCAGATCCAAACTACAGATGTTAGAAAGGGGAAAAAAACTAACAAAATGACAAAAAGCAAAACAAAACATTTTGGCAAGAAGGCCTTTTCATGAAGTTGAAATTATAGGAATCCTGAGGTAGCACTTATCTCCATAGGCAATTCTCTGATGTTTACACAAATACATTTCCTTTGGAATAAAATCATTAAAACACTTTTCACTTGCCTGGCAAGTGCAAGGGCCTGAGTTCAATCCCCGGTTCTGGAAAAAAAAAAAAAAAACTTTTGAATTTTCTCATAGCTCTCTCTTTAAACTAAAAACAATTACCTATTTTAAAACCAAGTTTCAAAAGTTATGGCAGAAATATTTTCATAGAGATTATTTTGTAACTTTATATGTCTATTGTTGAAGAGTTTGTAGTTACCCTCCTGTTAATTATAATGAAATTTATTTTACCTGGAATTATAGGAGTAGTAGAAGTCTTGACAGATATTCATTGAAAAGTTAGCCCTTACCTTTGGAATATTTAAGCTGTTCTCTGAGGTGTAGTACATGCATTTCACTGCCTAACTGAGCAGAGCACTTCAGCTATCACTTAACTTTTACTTCATGAGTTGAGGTTATTGCCGCAAGTCTGCCAGCACATATTAAACTTTTCTTCTTTGAAATGTAATTGTAACATTCATTCTGATCATTACCTTTTCCCAGGACCTTTCTTAGAGGGTTGCAACATTTCCTTCTTTTGTACCTCTTTGAAAAGTGTTAAGATGTATGTCTTATCTACATGTGCATAACTCAAACGCAGGGCGCTACCACTTGACAGAGTTATGTGTTGCAGGCTTCCTGTGATAATTATGGCTTCCCTCAGCTCCCACGCCGGTGACACCACAGTGAGCCCCCAATAGGAAGGAGACTCTGTTACTTGCAAGAGGTCAGAAGGACGTGGTCACACATGATGCCAGGTGGCTGCTGCTCCCTTTGCCTCTGTATCATTCAGAGTTTTACTGGAAGAATAGATACAACACAAGATGTACAAATGTATAAGAAATTACAAGAATGGCTTATGATAGTCAGCCACAGAGTCAGATGGGGAAGCATGCAGAGGCACGCTGGAGACTGAAGGATTCAGTCCAAGGTCTGGAGCTCAGTGCAGTGTTCTGTGCAAGCTGGTATCAGGAGGCCAGTGGGTCTGCGGTGGAAGGTTGATAAGTCTACACAGCAAGACTAAAGGATCTAAGGCCAGAGCCAGAGTCTGTGCTAGAAGCCCGGAGAGGATGTCCAAGCTGACTTTAAAGAATGGAGCTCCTCCCAGAAAATGGACTCCTCCAGTCTTCCTCATTTCCCTTTTATATCCTATTAGTGATGAGTCACCCTAGGGTTGGGCCTCCACGCCACAGGGGGTGGAAGTGCTAAGCCACATTAGTTAAGCTTTTAACTTCTCAGGTTGACACAACTGATCAACCTCTACAGCCTCCTACTTCCTTCTTAATTTTAGAAGCACTACTTTCCCATCTGAATAAAAAGAAAGCACTACTTTCTACACTGGGGACAAAACAGTTGATTCACAAATAACTTGTTTTTAGTAAATGTTATGTCTTATATTCCTAAATGAACTGAAGTTTAAAGATAAGCATATAACAAACAATGCATTAAGTGACAGAAATTGGAAGTGTTCACATCCAGGTTTTGATGATGATACCTTCCCTTGTTGCTACCATTAACATTAGTGTGAAGTGGCTAACAGTAAGGCAGGGAAACAAGAAGAATAAAAAGAAACAGTAAAAACTCACCTTCCTCAGTTGACCCGGCCACCTGCCCTGCAACATAAGAAAACCTATTAAGACCAAATAAATTTATCAGATTTATACAAACAGTATACAAATTCAACATGATGCAAAAAATTCCATGCATAGTAGGAATGAAAAATACAAAATATTTAGCAAGGAACTTAAGGAATGTTTAAGACTTGTACAGTATAAATTATAAAACTAATAAAAATAAAACAAAGGGGCCAGGGAGATGGCTCAGTAGAATAAGCACTTCCCTGGCAAGTGCAAGGGCCTGAGTTCAATCCCGTTTCGCAAAAAAAAAAAAAAAAAGTAAAACAGAGCCACAGAAATAGCAACAGACCCTGCTGCTCAGTGAAAGGTCACTCTGCCTGAATTTTCCTGTAAATCAATTGAATCTCTGTTTAAATTTCAGTAAGATTATATTATTTGAAATTCACTGATTCTGAAATTAATAAGAAGATAGACAGCTCCAGGAGACTCCTAAAATTATGAAGAGTAATGAGCTAGAACTCCTTCTCCCAGTGATCAAAACAATCAATAAAGCCTAACAAGAGATGATCATATAAACCAAAAGCCAGCAAAGATAAAGAAAATTAAACAGCAGGCTTACAAGGAGCCGGGAAGATGGCTCAGTAGAATAAACACTTCCCTGGCAAGCACAAGGGCCT